TTTGTGGTAGGCCCCCCCCCTCCCTCTCTCTCTCTATCTGTCCTTCTTTCTCTCTCTCACTCGTTGTCTCTTTCTCACACTCATAATAATAAACGGAACAAAACTCTCTCTCTCTCTCTCTCTCTCTCTCTCTCTCTCTCTCTCTCTCTCTCTCTTGTGTGTGTGTGTGTGCACTCTTAGTCTCATTGCTTTGGCTACCTTAGGGCTGCGTTCCCCGCGCCCAGGCGGTAGACAATTTGTAGTGATGTCGAAAGAGGCCCAGAGCTTATGGCAGGTGAGCAGGGATGGCTGGGAAACTTTGCGTTTTATAGGACTTGGCATGGGAAGCAGGGTGCTGAAGGGACGCAGAGGCCTGCGGACCTCGGCTGTGGAATCTCCCCCATCCATCGGCCGCAGTCCCTGAGCCCTGAGATTGCTTGGACCAGCCATGGCCTGGTAGCCTGCGGCCATGGTTGCTGTGAGATCTGTTTCCACCTCCACTGTGGGATCAGGTCGTGGACATCCAGCCCCAGATTCGCGTCCACTGGACTGCAAATGACAAACGAACAGCAACCGATTGTGCCAATTTTATCACAGCACCGAAAATTGAATTAACGTTTGTGGCCAGCAAAGCGGGTTTGATGGAATCAGCGCATAGTCACACACGCATAGCAAAATTGCATAATAATCTGCAATTTTGCACCTGCGATTTTGCGGTTTAGCTGTGCTGCGTACTCCGTTGGAATTACGCAACTCGGAAGGAGGTCGAGAAAGAAGCGAGCCGCGTGTTTAGGACACTGCCGCCGGTGGGCTTTCGCGGAAGGACGTCAGTGGCGGGACGCGTGTTTTCAGGGGAGCGCGCGCTGACTCCAAACGGTTTCCTTCCTCGGCGGCATCCGGTGAGACTCCAAGCGGCGACGACGTGTTTTATTTGGTCGCTATCGCGCAGGCAACTGTGGGGTCGCGGACCCTTGGGCTGTTACGGCGCTAGGCGACGCTGGACTCTCTGTCAATCTGGGGCCAACCTCACTCCCCAGCCGCGCGCTTCTCCTCGTGCGCCAGCCCGAGGCGAATGGCACTGGGCGGTGTGCTGGGACTGTGTGAACGCGGTTGGATTGGATGGGGGGAGAAAGTAGAGGAAGGGTGGGGGGCGGGGGGAGAGTTGGGCAAAGGTGGCGGGGAGGCCCAAGAGATGCCGCTGAGTGGTTAGAGGGTTGGGTGGTAAAAGGCCGGGGCGTTGCTCTCGCCCTTTCCTGTTGCTGCTGCTCTCCCCACTTCGCGCCACGACGCACGCGCTGCGCGCGCGCGTGCGCGTGGTGTGACGGCGGGCGAGGCGGAGCCAATGCGCAACGAGTGCCAGGCGTCTGAGCTGCGCACGGACTCTCACGGGCACCCTCTGTTTCTCTCTTCCTCGGTGACCCCTCGCGATGGAATCGGATGTTGGGACCACCCACTGAAGCGGGTATGCTTATGCTGTTGACCGAAAGGTGTGATCGTCTGCCGGACGAGGCTGCCCGTGCTGGTCAGCACCGCGTTCCACTGTAGCCTCTGTTCAATGGGGAGGGGGTGAGTGGGTGTCAATTAGCGCCTCTGTCTTTCTCTATCTTTGTCTTCATGCGCCACTCCCTCTCAGATCCCCCGTGGTTAAATGATTGGCCATGATGCTCTCACATCGCGCATCATCATAGCACTGCATGAGTGATTTCGACCGCAGCGCTCGCTGCGGGATTCGAGCGGGAAGCGGGCGGGAGGAGAGAAGGGCGCTCGAGGGTCCAGGGACAGAGGGGTGTGGTAGTGGTGTCTGGGAGTGGAAGACAGCGGGAAGGGCCAGCCGCGGCCACTCAGGGGAAACCGAGGAGGGGGAAGGAAGAAAAAGCTGCGTGAGGAACTTTCTGGCAGTTTCGGTTGCAGAGAGGCAGCAGCTAACGGGCAGAAGATAGAGGAGAAGTAGAGGGAGGAGAAAGAGGAAAGGAGGAGGAGGGGGCACGCAGGGCGGCGACATCTCGGGCCTGCTCTGCGCGTCGTGGTGATCCATTGGAAGCCATGGCCGGAGCCACGTGGGCAGAGAGCGACGGCCATGGCGGACTTGGGCTGGGGGGTTATGTCATGAATCGGTTCCTTCTGGGGTCGGTGGCGTTGATTGTCGCGGCAGTGGGATTCTCGAAACAGTATCTTGTGAAGAAACCCGCGAAGAAGAAGGTGCGCGTCTACATGGATGGCTGCTTCGACATGATGCATTATGGGCATGCGAATGCGCTGCGCCAGGCTCGGTCGCTCGGCGATGAGCTCGTGGTCGGCCTCGTATCGGACGAAGAGATCATACTCAACAAAGGCCCGCCAGTCACGAAGATGGACGAGAGGTAAATTGCTTCCCCGCGCCTTCCGCTGGCCTTCTTTCCGCAGCGCGCGCGCCGCTGCAAGGCGCGTTCAGAACGACGTTAACCGCGGTTGCGACGCTGCAGAGAGTCCCCCACGCCGCGCTTCCTCTTCTTCCTCCACTCTTCTCACCTTTCTGCTTTTGGGAGAGGGCCTGCTTTTTCACACGCGCTTGCTGCTGGCCACCATTTCAAAACAGAGAGGATTCACGAGACGGAAAGCCTGTTGCCCCTGTGCTCGCGCGTGGTCGCGCGCCCTCTCTTGCGCGCGTATGTCCCTCGTTCTAGCGTATTCTCCGTCACTCAAGTCGCGATGCAATCTGAAGAAGAAGAAGAAGAAGAAGTAGAACAAGAAGTAGAAGAAGAAGAAGAAGAAGAAGAAGAAGAAGAAGAAGACGAAGAAGAAGAAGAAAGAAGTTGAGGAGGAGGAGGAAGAAAAAAATGGAAGCTGTGTCAGATCCCCTTTGTCGATCCGCGGATGGAGGGGAAGGATTCGGAAACCGAGACTTCCCCAGACCGGCGGTCCTGAGAGCACACCGTCGTTGGGCTGGACCATCTGGCAGGCATACTGCAGGAGGGAAAATGGCAGCAAATCGACTCCTCCTTTTCATGCATTCGTATTCCCCAGGCTGGGCTGAACCGTCTGGCAGGCTTACTGCACGAGGAGAAAATTTAATGGCAGCAAGTGAACTCCTCCGTTTCATGTGTTACTGTATGTTCAAGTTCATTCTCGTTCGATCGTACTCTCCCCTCTAATAGTACACTGCTATAGTGCGCGCGGCTATGTCCGTGCTATCGCGCATTCGATCGCACTCTCCCCTCTAATAGCACACGGCTATAGTGCGCGCGGCTATGTCCGTGCTATCGCGCATCACGGGCTCCGCGATTAGAGCTCAAGAGCCAGACCTCTGACGAGAAGGGATGCGGTTTGGATTCATTCGTCCTTCGATAATGGATCATCCCTTCCACTCGGGTCGGACTCTCACATAGATTGTAAGTTGTAGCGGCATGTTCTTCGAAATTGCTGACTCTGCCTCTTTTAAGTAGTATAATAAATAAGCAAGACACCCTTGGGTGATCGCTGACTCTGCCTCTTTTATTAAGTAGTATAATAAAGAAGTAAGACACCCTTGCGTGCTGTAAGGGAGGGAATACGTAGTAAAACAAGTCGGTATCGTCATGATCTTCTCAAGGTAGTGCCAGACTCTCTCGATAATGCAGTACGAGAATCACGACACTGCTCTCTGATCTGATGACAATCGCCGGACAGTCCGATCATAAGCGAAATTTTAGAAGATGAGGCGATACAGCCTTCTTCCCCCGAATACAACGTACGGTCATTTTCGTTGTAGTCGGGGTATGTTTCACTCTAGATGCACAGCTATTGCGACAGCCGTTGTATTCGAGGGAAGAAGGGTAGATATACTTTTTGCTACAAGTACTGAAAGAAAGCATTCAGGTACACTTTGCTTGCTTTTCGAGTAGAAAAAAAAAGTCAGTCTCGTCAAGGTCTTCCCTGGATGGTGCGAGACTGTCTGTCATGTCTATCATCATGCGGTACGAGCATCACCATGCCACTCTCTTTCTGACAATCACGCGAGAGTCCGATCGGGGGCACCATATTTTAGAAGACGAGCATCACCATGCCACTCTCTTTCTGACAATCACGCGAGAGTCCGATCGACGACACGATATTTGTAGAAGATGATGTTATGTTATGTTATGTATAGATACGTGACTGGGCCCATAAGAACAGGACAGATGCAGAGGATCTGAGACGGAGAAGCGGCCTTGCATTATCTGTCTCCGCCGTTAAACCCCGCTCCACAGGAGGGGGTGGGGGGGAGTCGTGGGGGTTTATCGGTTAAACCAGTAAGCTTCTTCTATTGATATCGCAATACCGGTAGTACTAATGCTAATCATATATTGAATAGAGATTTTTTTTTTTTTTTTTTTTTCTAATTGATCAATATAGATCGATAAGAAGAACAAGAGAGTAAGGGGTACTTGCCCAGTGTTTAGGTCGCACGTGTCACTCTCCATGCGTAGTAGGCACACGGAGTGGATGATCCACCCCTCTGTTATTATGACAGTCAGAAAGTATTACGAGGATCGTGTGGGCTAAGTAGTGCTAAGTACCGAAATGATTATCTAGTGTACCAAGTATTATTATCAAGTAACAGATTCCGGCTTACCCTGCTCCCTCTGTCTCTCTTCGCTTCGGGACTCTTCTCTCTCTCTGATTAACTGCTTGCTCGCTCTCTTTTGCCGCCGTCTGTGTTCTTCTGAGGGAGTGCTTCCGCACTATGGTAGGACTTTTTCAGCTCATCTCGGCCACGAAACTCCTCGTGTGAATGTGCTCTTATTGCTTGTTTTTCCGGTTTGCGACCCTCGTTTTCGATTGTCTGTGTATATATGTATCTATCTATCTATACTGTGTGACAATATATCTATACTGTGTGACGATATATGGATATAGATGTATATGTATGACACACGGGGGTGGGGGCAGCCGCCGCTCAACCTACATCCACGTGGGCGGCCTTGTATGCAAAAGAGGTATTGAACAGGGGGAGTTGTAAGTAAGAAAATAAAAATGAATTGATTTTTTTTCTTGTTTTTTTTCGCTTTTGCGCTCTAATATCTTTGCGACGACATATATATTGTTTTGTTTTCTGGCAACTCTTGATTCCTGTCGGTCGTCTCTCTCTCTCACTTTCTCTCTCTCTCTCTCTCTCTCTTTCTCTCTCTCTCTCTCTCTCTCTCTCTCTCCTTGTTGTTTAGTTTGTCTCTTTGCCCTCGTTTAGCTCACCTCCGGTGCCGACGGCGTAGTTGCACTACTCGCCATCCGCCGAAATTTTGAATGCATCTGGTCAGAATCTGGGTTCAGATTCATTCAGAATTTTGGCGGATGTCGAGTAATGCAGCTAGGCCAGGATTCTCCACGCTCCCGAGGGTCCTTGATGCCAACAGAATCCTGCGATGTGCCCCGCCCTCAGATAGCAGGCAGTGTCCGAGCCGTTTCCCAGTGGGTCGATTTCTCTTTGTGCCGTCTGTTTTTTTTTTTTTTTTTTCCCTTTTCCTTTCCCTTTCGTTTCGAGAGGTTGTAATGCCGTAAACCTCAACAATATCGCAGGGATCAGGTTGATTGAACAGGGCACCTGTGTATCAACACACACATCGGTATGTGTGTACCATTGGGATGCCAGGCAGGAATCGATTCTCTTCTTTTTTTCTTGGGGGGGAAGGGGGAGAGGAGTTTTTGGGAGTGCTGCAGTCTACCGGCGAGATCTTTTGTGGGTAGCTGCTATTTCTGCTGTGAACCGCGCAGCAGCTCTGTCTCTGTCTCCGCGGACATGGATTTTTTTTCTCTTTCGTTTATTTTTCCGAGGACATGGATTTTTTTTCTCTTTCGTTTTTTTTTCCGAGGACATGGATTTTTTTTCTCTTTCGTTTTTTTTTCCGAGGTCGTTGCGTTGGGATGGTGAGGGTTTTCACAAAGGGCCTTGTCACACCACTGTGGGAAGGAAAGACGAGCGAATGCATCTTCCCGCCGAGAAGGGCAGGATGCATCCGTTACTGTGAATAGCAATGGATGCATCTTACCACTTTCTGCGGCAGATGCATTCGTTCTCTTCTCGTTTGCACAGTCGTGTGGCGAGGCCCAAAGTCACGCGCTTATCAGACAGTCTTCACGGGGTGGTGCTGGTAGGAGTGGGGTGCTGTTTGTTTTTTTTTATGTTTGTTTTGTAAAGGGCATTACAGCACTCCAGACACGAATGTCTCGGGCGAATCTGGTCGTGATAGCGGCCAAGTTTCGGTTGAAAAAGGTTTGTGCTGTGAGTGCTGCCCTAAGAATGAAGATTTGCAACTGAAATCTGGCGTTGCCTGAGTGATAGCAGCCCCGAAAACCGTCGTTGATTACAGTATGCCCGTGGATGGAGGAAATGAAGGAATGCGTGGGGTGAGGAGAGGAAAGAAGCGGATCAAACTAACAAAAGTGTTTGCTGTGTATTATTGTCTCTGTCGATTCTTTCATGTTTGTGTTGTTTGCTTGGTTGCGTGTGGGCGGGGTGGGGAAGTCGCAAAAAAAAGACGCTTTCTGGAGAAAGAGCCCGGCAAAACGTTTCACTAAGATGGCGCAGTGTTCCTTCTTGAGTGATTTCCCTCCGTTATCAGTGTTCCTTCTTGAGTGATTTCCCTACGTTGTCCTCCCTCCTTCTTGAGTGATTTCCCTACGTTGTCCTCCCTCCTTCTTGAGTGATTTCCCTACGTTGTCCTCCCTCCCCCATGTCCATCCATGAGGCGGCCGATCCATACTTCAGTAGCACCTTCCCACCAACCAGCTGGCGGAAATATTTTGACTCTGAACGAGCAGATGGACGACTCTCCAATTCTTAAACACCCTATATTTTCTAGAGTTTGGTAGATAATCCTCACGTGCGTCCTTTTTTTGGAGTACGTGCGTGTTGATTGAGTCCACGACGGTGCTGCGTCTGTCCCTTGCAGCTCCATCGCCTTCTGCACGCTCTTCCTCCTCCCTTTTCCTTCGCCACGGAGACGGGACCACCACCCCGGCTCATGGATTGCGCTGTCTCAGAGAGTTGTGCTCAAAGAAGTGTATGGCACGGCATGGTGCTAGTGTTGCTCTTGCTCACCCGTCAGCGCAAAGGACGGCGTGTGTTGACAGGCAGGCGGGGAGACGAGCGGGAGAAGGGGGGAGGTAGAGAAGGGGAGCGGGAGAAGGGGGGAGGTAGAGAAGGGGTTTAGGACTTGTATTGGCACGACGATGTGTTTCTGGGGATGGATGTAGGGAGGAGCTCGAATCTATTTTTAGAGGAGGCGACAATCACTACTTTCCTTGGGTCGCTGGTGAGGCCGGTGGTCCAGCTGACTGCGAGGTTTACGGTGGCAGTTGGGCAGTTCGACGGGAGCGATTGACTGAGCCACGCTGGACTGACAGTGCTGTGACTCTCTCGGGGACA